TCACGTATCTCTCTATTTTTTTTAATTTTAAATTATGTAATTAAAAAAAATAAAAATTATTATTTACAATATAAACATTACAGATCAGTGTTTAATTTTTGATATATACTATTAAGATCTAATTTACTATGATATTTAGATTGATTATGAGCTCCATAAAATATTTGAACACAGTGTTAATCAAGTGATTTTACTGTAATTACATTATTATGTCAACAAATTAGTTAAATTTTTAGTTTTAAATAGTATTACTCCCTGATGAATTATTATTTACAAAATTAAAGTCATGATTTCAGAATTGTTGGCTAGTTTTTTTTTTCGATCATAGCGGACAAAGATGCAGTAAGATTGTGTTTTGCTTTCATGGCTGGCAAGGAAAATTAAAAGAAGTCGTCGATGGTTGTTCTGTTTTTGTGGCTCCCGAGGATGTATATCGCCAACCATTTATTTGCACATTTATTTGCACATGACATTTTCTCCAAAAGCTGAAGTAGACCCCATGTTGAAGTAGACCCCACTCTTGCTTTCTCACCATCTTCGAAAATATTTATCAATGCTTTTCCCCAAAATAAAAAAATTATTAGTCCTTTTTCCGGAGTGAAAAATTATTTTTTTCTTCAACTTTTTCTTCACTACGGTACAATAAATTGCTTTCATTTGGGAGTGAAACTGCAGAGGAGTGTTTGTTGAAAGATCCAAGAATACCCATTTCTTTACCTTCACTCACAGGTACTTCTCATCTCTGTCCCTCTCTGTAATTCCTGATTTTTTCGTTAACAGCACTGTCCATTCAAGTACCCATCTTGTTTTTCTCTTTAAAATTTGAAGAATATACTGTTTTTAACGCTTAATATAGTCATTTCAATTTCTTTTTTCTGCGTAGTCTCGGAAGATCTTTCATGCTTTCATGGGTGTGTTAGATAATTTACTACCTTATTGTCTGCACAACCCAGTTTGTGAGACAAGGGTCAGTGAAAAGTCACCTCTGCCTGGGACACAATCAATCTAATGTTAAAAACCCACAAATTTCTAGGAAAAATAGGACTATGTAATTAGTTAGGTGGGTAGTTATTGAAGTGTTACTTTCGATTTGTAATTCTATTATTTCAGTGATGAAGAACCCATTTCATCATCTTCATTGAGGTTCTTTCAGTTCTTGTTTTAGTATCAAGTGCCAACTGAATGCCCTTCTCTCTCTCTCTCTCTCTCTTGTTTTTGCCACATCTATAAAGGTTCATGTTTCAAGTGTTTCACATTTATCTCTGTAATCAAGACTAGTTTTCTTGTTACCTCTATCTTCACAGCTTGTTGAGAGCTTTTCATGCCTTTGTTGTTATAGTAAATTTTCTGTTCACAGTGTCAACATCAGTCTGTAGGGGTGTTGAATACTTTGCGATTCCAATGATAAACAAAGACTCTAATTGTCAAAAAGAAAAGCGATTAACAATGATGGGTTGCTGAGATCTTTCTGGGCTGCTTCCTCATGATGACATATCTCAAGAAGAGTGCAGACACAATCGAAAACCCTGCTTTATTTTCCCCAAATTAACTTTTGCATTTAATGCTGTGGATTAGTGTTTGCTTTATCCTATTACCTTTGTGATTTGGAAGATATCTTCTTGTCTTCGTCGGTATATTGCATATTCTTTTTCATTTATGTCATATCCACCCATATGCATTTGAATGTATTTCATGAAGAGAACAGAAACAATTGACGAATATCTCTTATTTTCCCTGAAAATAGAAATCTTTTGTATTCAATGCTCACGGTTAGCACTTGCTCTTCATAATCTTATCTTTTATTATATCATTTTATTTCATAACTCGTAACGACTGTGGTGCCTGCATTTGTCTGGGAAAAAAATTCTACAAGTCATCTCTATCTCCAGGGTGTAGTTCCAAGCCTTCTTCTCCTGTGAGAGCACTGATCTTGAAAAGTGATTCTTTATGAAACTTTCACTAGTGTGGTGTGGATAATTGTTATTGACATTAATGTTTACATCAGTCAGCATAAGTGTTGATCTATCTGTGCTTCTCGGGAGCAGTATGAAAAATTTGGGAATCTTTCCGGAGAATAGGGATTAGGCACTTGAAACTTCATGAATTGCTTTTTGCTATATTTTTGAGGTTCTACGTATCATTTGTCTGTGTTATTCAACGTCATTTTTGCTGACCGATGGATATATGATATATTAAAGGGAAGTTAACAAGAGATTCTTCCAATCTGGAAAAGGAGAGTTTCTCCACCCTTTTTGTCTGAAAGACACATGATGAGGAACACAGAGGTGCATGACCAATCTTTCAATGGAAGAATCCCGGCTGAAATTGCTGAAAATTTAAAAGAATTTTTTCCTGAACATGGTGGTGATCTTACGTATGAAGAGATTCTTCTACATCAGGTGCTTTGGAATGAAGTTTGGTTGCTTTATTGAATCAGCAAAAGAAAAATGCTCTTTTGAACAATCTTGTCTTCATTTTCGATACTAGTAAGTATTATGTTCATTATATCTCTATTATGTTGCAGGAAAGCGTTTACGAGTCACTTCAAGCAAGTGGCAAGAACAAGGGAATAAGTTCTGATAGTGGTCAAACCAGTGACCGAAGTCAGGTTTCGGGACAAGATGGTGAATCTTCGCGGGGTGGAAGTGTTGAGTCACAATTGGCTCTAGATGAAGCTTTGGCTAGATCCTTGCAAGAGTTAGGGGAAGACTTCGATGATTTCTACATATCTGAACACAGTGGTACTGCAGCTGGTAAAAATATACGTCTAACCTTTCGTTTGATTTTGCAAAGGTTGTGTCTCTTCTAGTAGCTCAACTTTTCATGATTTATTGACCCATTGTTTTTTACTGGTCAAATGAATAGTCAACAGTCACAAAGTTTTGCTCCTAAGGACGCACAGCATAGGGTACTTATAACGAAAAGATCCTCATTGGAGATAAAAGATGGTACCTGGGATGTAATTGAGTGTCTATGGCACATATGTGAACAAAGACAATGGAACAACATATGACACTTTTAACTTAGAGCAGAATGAGTGTTGGGAATGTATGTTTCAGGATATTGAATGTTGTTGTAAAGAAATAGCTAGAAGATCCCCAAAAGATAGACAAGTTATTCAGGAGATCACTCTGCAAAGATGGAGGCCCTGACTTCTACTCTTCTCCTGGGAGGAGGGACGAGCAGCATGTGACTGGGAGCATTATTAGGGTGCTCAAAGAGTCCATACGAAAACAAAACATTAGAAACTTGACGGTATTTTGTTTTGCCCATCAGACTGATACTTCTGGTTAGTAAAGGGTGGCAAACTTATCTGCATAAAATTATGTTCATACTTGCATTGTTCAGTTGTACGATAAAAAAGTGATCATATTTACTGTGTGGAAGTTCAGGATTCAATATAAGTCATTTTCTAAGTTTCTATCGCCATATCCCAGTGTGTTGAAATTTTCAGACAGTGCATATAGAAAGTACCATCTTGTTGCTTATCTACATTTCTCATGATGAAAATAAACTTGCTTTTACATATTCTGCAGGGAGTACAGAACTTAGTCCTCGAGAAACTCTTGTCCGGGTATTGTTCATTAATGCTTTGGGTTTTGCTAGTAGTGCAATAATCCATATATGATTCTAGGTTTTTCTTTCTATGTGCAGACAGTGAGTCATCATAGGAGGGACGATGATGTTGATCCAGACAATATGACCTATGAGGTAGGTTTTCTGATTAAGTCTGCAATTTTGTATGCTGTGGTTTGAATTTTTATTGGAAAATTGTTTGTTCTAAAAACAGTGGTTTTGCCAAAAAAAAAAAACCCATGATATTTTTCCCTTCTTATAATTGGAAATACATTTTGCGGTTGAGTCTATGAAGTTATGAACTGTTTGGAAACATGTATGAGTAATATGTGGTTAAGAACTCAGTTATGTGCAATATTTTGTTGTTCTCATCAAGCAAGAAGCAACTAGGCCACTGTGCTAAGAAGCACATAAACTATCACATGTAGGATTGCGAGAGATGACTCTGTTTCAATTTTGTTCGGGCTGTTTTGACTTCCTACAAATTTGAATGGTCCTATTGACATTTTAGATTACATTTCTATTTGAAAACCCATCATTGTGGATGGAACCTAAAAGTAATGGCCAGAATGAAATGATGATCCTATGAGGAATTATGTTCAAAGAATCTATCTAGTCATTTCATGCCCATTAATTTTTGATAAAGGTCCCCATTTTCTTTGCTGATCTCAATCTATGGGATAAATTTTTGACTTCTACAGAAAGTGCAATGGGGCCACCCTTTAATAAAAAATTGGCAAATATTGAATGACGCTTATATGTTTGTCAATCAGTTGTTCCTGATATGAGTTTGATAATCCAAATGCTTGAAAATCAAACTTATAATGTTTTGTTTTCAAACTAATCTTGGGCTTCGAAATTTTCTGGATTGTCCAGATTGTTTTCATGGAGTCAAGTTTATTGCATTTTGAGTGCTAAAAATTAATTATGACATGCATTTTAAGCAAAGTCATGTAACTTTGTGTTGATGTTTGTTCTTAGCAATTGCAATCGCTAGGAGAAACTGTTGGCAGTGAGAGCAGAGGACTGTCCGAAGAGCTCATCTCCCGGCTACCAACTTTCAAGTACAAAACAGGGTTTTTCTCAAGGAAAAAGAAAATGGAAAATGAAGAGTAAGAAGCACCTAATATTTTTTTTTCTTGAATTGCATACCATGTGTATGTTTGAATTGTGTGTGAAGCACATGCACACGTGCACACATACCCACACACATGCATGGTCACAACAGCATGTTCACCTGGACAAGTAGAGAAGTTGCTCTTATTTGTTAATCTCTTGAGGGCAAGCTTAAGCATCATATCATCTATGCTGTTAAAGATCACCTACTATTTGGCTCGAGTGGTATCTTCTACAACCCCAAAAGAGGGAGGTTTAGTATAAAAGTTCTGGTTGGTACATGGTGCACCTGTTGCACTTGTTAGTTGTCACAGATTATAAGATGTATATTGGATCTGTATCTTCAGTCCTTGATTCTGCCGAGGGCTTGACCTGCTGACTATTTGTACAATAGGGGTAAGATAATGTCTGATAAGCAATTGATTAGCACATGAAAGTGCCTTCTCATAACTACTTCCATGTTTTAATGCTTCCATTTCTGGTTGGACCATCTGTATCGGCCAGCTAAACCTACCATCCAAACTGTTACCACTTCCCTGTGCTTGCACCTTGGATTCAACAATTTCTTTGGTTGTAGGTTTTGAGAGCCCTGTAAATACTCCACGAAGGCCCGAACATGGTATTGATTTTGAACTATCAAGTTCACTTTTTCCTGTCTTGTTAGAGTTCATAGCTTCACACTGTAAAATCACTCAGTTCAAAAGAATTTGATTTGATTTATACAGCTCAGAAGTATGAAACTCATGGTAATAGCATTTTATATTGGGTGACTTTGGTTGACATTTCATTGCACTCAATTTAAGCTGGGACAATGGTTGACTTGACTCAACCTTGTAATTTCATGATTTATTTGACATTAGGAGGGCAATGCCTTATTTAAGTAACAGTTCAAGCAAACTCAAAAAAGTCGAATAGTTCCCAAGTATTTGAATAGTGATCAAAGATACAGCAACTGATAGTAGCATTAAACACATCTGTATGAATGATTTGGATGCTCCCTATATTTATAAAAACGAACCATGTTTGAAGAGCCGAATTTGTCGTCTCATTCTAAGAGGTATCCCTCTTTATTAGTTTCCTGGTTGTAATTGTTAACTTATTTGAAAATCTAAAAAAGTTGCATAGTTGCAAAATTCCTTGGATCATAGGAAATAGCTGTTACCATTATAATTAATGACACTTGTTAGTGACATATCTGCTTCTAGGTGTGTGATCTGTTGCATGGCCTACAAAAATGGAGATCGATTGACCACGTTGCCTTGTGCACACCAATATCATTCAGCATGCATCAGACGTTGGTTGAAGCTCAATAAAGTAAGAGTTCCTTACTTTGGTAACATTGTCGTTCAATCCAACATCAAAAAACATTTTCTTTTGGAGAATTTCTGCAAGTGGACAGAAAATAAAGTAAATTCAGTAACCTCTATGTAGATTTTGGTTGGTGTTTTCTGGTAGGCAGAAACACAACCTTCTGCATTCCTTTCGTTGTTAAATGAAATGTAGATGATTTGAGCAGCTTAGTCCAAGACCTCAGTCCCATGCTTTTTAGTCCATTTTGTTGAACATGTAGATATGATCCCATGCTTTTTAGTCCATTTTGTTGAACATGTAGATATGATGGCCTTAAGAGGGATAGGTTGTTGCTAGCTTCTGCGTGCATACTTTGTCCTGAGGCTTAGCAAACCTTCCCAGACCATATGGGATAGTTGAGAGACCCTGAAAATTTTGACTGGACTGAGCCTGTGCCCCTCATTAATATGCCACGACGTAACCCTCGAGTGTAATACGTTTAATCTAACCAATATCATACGTCTACATGATGAACGCATCATAGAGTGAAATCTCAGTATGATTGAACAATTACATTAAACAAGTTATTCTACCTGAAAGAATTCACGATCTCTCTCTCTCTCTATCTCCCTCACAGATTTGCCCTGTTTGTCAAGGAGAGGTGCGAGGTGACTAATTTATTGAAGTTTGGATGCAAGAAAAATCCATCCAGTGGTTCTCAAATGGCTTATACGTACATACAGGTTTTTGGACTGTTTATGCTTTAATGGTGACGGTAAACTTTTTTTTTTTTGGTCAATTGTCGTACGGAACACGGACTCTTCTCCCTGAAATGTGCAGAAACCTTGGGTTTATTTTTCTTCATGTAAATAGTAGTATGTGTGACAGGAAATTTTTTGACATGCAATGTGTTGCTTTTTAACAATATTACCAGTGCTATGGCTCTTAGTAACACTTGGGTTCTATCATTTCTGGTGAATACCCAACAGCATTTTATTTATTTATTATTTATTTTTGTAGCCAGAGAAGGTCACATGAAATTGGGTAACTGTAACTTACACTTGAAAACTTTAGGCTTCCAGCAGTACAAGAGGCCCTGGAAAGATGAGGTAAGGAGGTTTGGTTAGACCATATCAACAGTATTACATTGTATAATCGTCTAATAAGAAAGTTAAAAAATGGATGAAATGAAACTTTTTTTTTTTTTTTTTACGTAGAGGTGGTTATTTATTACATAAATGATGGTTATTGAATTTGGTGGGATTTACTTGTCCATTTGTTATTGAACGGTTGCATCAAGTGATATTGATGACGTGGTGTAATCGTTATGCTCAATAATTTCTCCCACCAAGGACATTATGTCACTTATAACATGATTAATTGTCACCCAGCTCTAAGCTGCTGTCAAATGTGTATTTGGGTCTGATTTAAATAATTATTTTTTTAATATTTATACATAAATACATAAATATTTTAGATTAGATCATAATTGAATTGAATACAGGTATATGCAAATTTAAATCCGTGAAGTATAAGATATCGGATTTGAATTCGGTTAATTGACAAAAAATATAAATTCATATCTTGTTAATTGGATTTTGATTTGAATCAAAATTTGATCTATTGAGTAACATAATTAGAATCAGCATTGATCCATTTTTTTTTAAAGAAAAGAAGATATGTTGGATATAACCCAACAGTCAGTAGTTCAATGGCATTCATAATAGTAACAATTATAAATAACATTAATATTGTTTCTATAACCTAAAAAAAATAGTATCATAATTAGTTATTTTATTAATATTATTATCTCCAATCAAATGTTTTTGTTTTTTTTGAACTTTTATAGTAGTATTAGGTCATGCAATATCCGAGTGTTTAAAAAATTGATACCATTATATCAAATAAAAATTTTTTGTTTTCTTTTTTTTAAGTTACATAATTTGAATTAATTTTTAGGTTTAATTGCAGTGGAGCCCCCAAAGTATGATGTTTGTCTCATTTTAATCCCCAATATTTTAATTACATCGTTTTAATCCCTGAATTATTAAATATGTTTTTATATAGTCCTTTAAGTAGATAACATATCCAAATTACTAGCGGTTTTTAACTGTAAATTTGTCACGTGATATTTAAATATAGATAAAAAAATAATTTGGATAACACTTGACTAAACTTGTACCCAAAATTTTAGTCAAAGAGTTATCTAAATTACACAATTTTGATTAAGAGCTATTCAAATTTTGGTCAAGAGCTATTCAAATTATTTTTTTTTTCATATTTAGGTAACACGAGACAAGTTTATGATAAAAAAATCGTTAGTAATTTGAATGCTATTTAGTTGAGGGATCACATAGAAATATATTACATACTTGAGGGACTAAAATAACGCAATTGAAATATTAAGAACCAAAATGAGAGAAATTCTATACCTTGAGGACTGTCAATATAATTAACCCAAATTTTTACTCAATAAAAAAATTATTTTTTTTTTCAAAATACATGACCTCAAAAAAATTTCAACATATGTATACTATCGTATATGAACAATGTCCAAAGTAAAAACTGTATTAAGTCACAAATTAGTAAAAAAATTAACTAATTCAACTTGTGACAAAAATAGATGATGTGATAGAAGAACCATGTTATTTAAACTTAAAAATTAATTTTATTTGTTGATTTAATGATGTGGCTTCATTTAGAACCATTAAATCAATACTAAGTTTCGACATTTAATAGAATTTACCGTCAATTCAGCGACTATAGTGAATTAAGTTAATAAAAAAGATCAATTTTTTAGATCTAAATAACATTTCTCGTAATATAAATGGATGAAAAAGACATATGAGATAAGATTCAAACTCATAATTTCTTTATATAACTCCTACAACATTATATTAAGATAATCACCAACTCTTGTAACCTTCAAAATATTAAAACTGACACTTTCTCCATTACTTGAGCAATAAACACACCATTACACAAGATTAACATAATTGTCTCCCACTACTTGCATACTCTCATTAACCACCAGCTCAGACCAAATTAAGACAACATAGAAAAACATAATTCTCAGAAACAAGTTTATTTTCCAACAGTACTGCATGTAATCAATCTTTTAATGGCTTCCGCAGTTTAGGAATAATCTGCAGTGGTTCTTTCTTCTGCATTGTTATGTCCAGCATAATACTCATGTTGATCGTGTCAGGATCCATGTTGCTTGGAAGAGACCAATCAAATGAGTGAATCAATGAACCAACAATAAGGGGGAGAACCTTAGAACCCAAAGGCTGTCCAGGGCACATCCTCCTTCCTGAACCAAAGGGTACAAACTCAAAGTCATGCCCTCTGTAATCAATCCCTAGATTCAAAAATCTCTCTGGTTTGAAGCTTTCTGGGCTTTCCCAGATTTTGGGGTCTCTTGCAATTGCCCACATGTTCACGAAAATTTGGCTGTCTTTAGGAATAGTGTAACCCATTAGTTCACAGGTCTGAACTGCACGTCGAGGAAGGAGCAATGGTCCCGGAGGGTGATATCTGAGAGACTCCTTGACACAAGCTTCGGTAGGGGAGGTCAGGTAAGTAGGACTCTCTCACTGTATCTCCGGCGCCGATCACTTTATCAAGTTCTTCCTGGAGTTTGTGCATGGCCTCTGGATTTTTAATGAATTCTGTAAGCAACCATTCAGTTGTTGCAAGTGTAGATTCAGTACCAGCGGCAAAAATCTCCTGAAAAAAAAAACAAAAACAAATAACATGGTAGATAAATCAATTGTAACATAGTAACTAATTCTATGCGTGTGTGGGTGTTGGTGTTATTTTTTTATTTTTTATCTTTGTTACATGTTGTCAGTCACCATGACTCAAGTTGGATTAGACCATGTTTGTGAGAAATAATGGTAGCCTAGAGATTAAATTTCAAATGTCTAGATTATTAAAGATTAATTTCAACTATTGAATTATTCTTAAAACTTATGTTGATAATAACGAGTGTATGGTACATAAGTGAAGATATCAACGAGTCTTTAATCTAATAATACTCTTTATTTTATAAAATATTTATTTTTTCGGGTTCAAGAGTTTTGGCCCTTTCTCCCTCCCCTCCCCTCCCCTCCCTCAAACAAAAAAAAGAAAAAAGAAAAAAGAAGAAGAAGGTACACAAGCGAAGATACCAAGAAGAAAAACGATTTAAAAGTGGAAAAAACTTAAAAAGATAGATATAAATGTGTTATTTACATATACCACTATACGAGTAAATGCATGCATTTATATGGATAAACAGGAGAGAGGTAGAGGGAGACCATAAATATGGCGTTGATCTGGTCGTCGGAAAACCCTTTTTCGATCAAAGCATCGGTGAAATCTCCTTGACCCAGAATCT